CAACAAAAAGACAAATATTCCAATTTAAAAATTAGCAAAGTGCATGAGCAGACCCTTCACACACACACACACACACACACACACACACACACACACACACGAAAAAAAGAAAAATCAAGGCAGCTATCAAACATTTGAAGAAATGGTTGTGATCATTAGCCACTAAAGAGATGCAAATCAATGACCTAATATCTCATCCCCCACAATAATGTCACTACTTTAAAAAGAAAATAAATGCCAGAAAATAAAAAATACTGGCTAGGCTGTTGGGAGATTGGAACTCTTATGCACTGCAGGTGAGAATGTAAAATGTTACAACCACAATGAAAAATCATGATACTTCCTTTCTTTTTAATTGTAACAGTTTTATTGACATATTATTCACATATCATACAGTACAATGGTTGAAATATATTTAAAAGGGTTGTGCAGTCATCACCACAATTCATTGTAGGGCATATTCTTCATTCTTGTACTCATTATTATTAGCTCCTCATTTCCCTCCAACCTCCGCTGCCCTAATCCTCTTGTAGTTAGGAGGGCCAGTGAGTAGCTTCCAGGCTATCGCACCCTGCGCACAACAGACCAAAACACTGCCAGGTGCTGTGGCAACATCGCTATTGTTTCTATGCCTGAGCCATTGTTTCCATCTTGGTTCCAATTAATCTCATTGAAGGGCTTTCTCTTTTTTGCTGCCTCTCCACTTTACCAAGCATAGTGTATATCTCCAGGGAGTGGCCTCCCCTAGCAACATGTCCAAAATATAGAAGACAAGCCTCACCATCCTTGACTCTAAGGAGCACTCTCGCTATACTTCTTCCAAGACTTCTAAGAAACGATTCCTTGTGTCTGAGGTGTCTAGAGAGAAGCTCTTGGATCCATGAGGATATTTGGTCCTTATGTTCAACACCCCTGAGGGCCAAGCCTGCCCCTGTCAAGTCTATGTCCACAGGAGTGACAGGTGACCCTCTCTCCCCGTCCACCCTCCTCCCCATCCTTGCCTCAGAGATGCAGCCATTTACTGAGGAAGGTAATGAATGGGCAGCAAAGGAGAAAGAGCGCAGGCTCTGAAAAATGACAGTCCCGGATTGAAATGTGCCCTTTGTCATTGATCAGCTGGAGGACATTTGGCAAATGACTAAACCCCTGAGCCTCAGTCTAGAGTCACAGCCATGTGGCAATCACTGC